AGGCCCATACTCGTCCAAACTTTTGAATTTGGAGAATAATTTTGGGACAGATGAGAGTATCGGGAATGTCCTAAAACGAGCTTTGCAATCATGCGATCCGAAGAAGATATATTTTCTACTTGTAGGAATATATGAAAAGTCTGGCAAGAAAGAGGTACGTCATAGAAAAAAAACGAATTGAAAGATCCATTTTATTTTCTCCGTCTCCTCCCTATATAACATTTCTTCTTCACGCCTTAAGCACGCACAACAAACCTATCAGACCATGACCAAAAAATTCTCGCAAAGTTCAAAAGTTTGGACGAGTATGGGCCTATTTCACATTAAAAATGGCGACATTTCCAGGTCACGTGACTTGCTCCAAAGAAGTCTGCAGGTCTTACCAAAGCGGAAGCGTATGTGTGCATAATCTAGTCGGGAGGTTTTTTTTTTCGTGTTGTATATAACTCTGACAGACATTAAACCTTCTTTGGACAGATGTCAAGGTTATAACGAAATTCGCGCAGATGGAATTCAAACATGGCGAAGTTGAAAGGGGTCGTACCATATTCGAAGGAATGATGAGTAATTATCCTAAGCGAGTAGATTTGTGGTCCATCTACATCGACATGGAGTGCAAGGTCGGAGATCCGGATATCGTTCGGCAAGTAATTCTTGGATGCGTGTTCACCGTGTACTTATACACGTTCCATCTTTAATTATCTAATTCATGCTTTTTTTTTTGGCAGACGTCTTTTTCAAAGGATAACGACGATGAAATTTTCATCGAAAAAGATGAAGTTTTTCTTTAAAAAGTGGTTGGCGTACGAGAAGGAACATGGTAGCGAAGAACAAATCGAGGAAGTCAAAACGAGAGCTCAGGCTTTCGCAGAATCACTAAATTAAAAAATTTGAATACAAAAATTTTTGTAGTTATTTAATTTTTTGCCATTGGTAAAAGGAAAAAAGAAATGTGACAAATTTAAACAATTTAATTTGTGATCACTCCAAATTTGACTGTGATCATGTCAGCTGATTCGATGATGTCTAATAATAACCTTAATATAATTAGGACCTTCCATCTCCACATCAAGTAAATCATGCTTCTTGAATACACGTCAAACTTTTGAGCAGCGCATCGGGAACTGCGGAATTAAATAAAAATTTGAATGATGAAAATTCATCATTTCCCATACCCCTTATTTTATCTTTGCTGCATTGGCGAAGCGTTAAGAGACGACAAGGTTTTACTTGAAAACGTGAAAACCATTACTTTCTATCGAGGGAAATTTACTACCGGTCGAAGAAATGAGCCGATTAAACAAATGCAATGCGTTGGGGGAAATGCTTGTTACGAATTTGAACCTGGTCAGGTCGTTATATTTTCACGAGTTGGTTGAGGAAATACTATGTTAACCATTTCGAGTATT